CCCCCCCCCCCCTCCCCCGCCTCTCTTTCGTGTATTCGGCCGAAAGAGACGTTAATTTGCTGTCCCGTGATAGAAATCCTCGGGGGCTCCATAGATCACAATTAGCTCCCCGCGAAAGCCGTAGGCGATACGAAATTTTCCGCGGCGCGAAATGCGAAGCTCGCGACGTCGTCGTCTTGCCATTATTCACGATGATATCGTGGCGGTGTAGCGATACCGTCATTTTCATGCGAAATGACGTTTATCGTAATTGCACGTCCGGGCGCATTGAGCGCACTAAATTTCCGTGGCGCGTTCCCCTATTAATTACCTCCTGATAATCTCGACTTGTAATTTACAATACGCTGGAGGACCCTCCATCGAAAAATCGCGCCGTCGCGTTCACGACGAGCGCGACGGGACAATTCGACCGCGGAATGAATCGCTCGATTAATCGCAGTTGCAAATGACTGATCGTTGTGATCAGTGACTAATTAAACCTGCACGGCTCGCTGCTGTAACGAGCGAAATAATTCGTTTTCTACGGTCGTTCGATCAATTTACAAGCGATATTAATTCCCAAATATCGACAATGGTTAAAAAAAAAAAAAAAAAAAAATAACGATAACGCGATCAATCTTCCGTTGACGGGAGGAAGAACGTGTACCCCTCAAAAACGGTTTCACATCGTTTGAAGAAACGAGATCAATTTTTCTTCCAGAAAGGAGTCGCGTGCTCCAAGATAAAAAGAGAGTTCCTCGCGCGCGATTCCCCTCTCTGTATCTCGTATCGTCGAATGATCTTCTTTTTTTTTATTTCTTTTTTTCTTAATCAATTGTGTACATGTGTTTACTACCTTTATATTGACTCAATGATGTTATTCTGTGGTGCTTTGCATGTCTCTATTGGACTCTGCATGTCGTATAGGGCATCGTAAGTACTTACTAAATGAACTCGTCATGAGACCTACGAATACACACGACACATTTTCAGACTCCAATCTCGTCGCCAGTGGACGGACGGATTCGCGAATCCATCGATCTCTGGACGCGCGCGGATTCCTCGGAGCTTCGAATCCACACGAATACCGGTGCATCTCGGGATCCCTGGATTCGCGAATCGTTCGATCCTTGGATGTTCGGACTTCTCCAAGCCGGAAGATCCCCGAAATTTCGAATTCTCGGATTTCGGGAACGCTGGGTCTCTCGGTCCTTGGATTCGGACGATCGGGATCGAGAATCCTTGGGTTCTGATCATTCAGGAATAACCGAAGGACCGTTTGATCCTTGAATACTTAGATCCTTATACACAAGTAGTAGAATCTACGACTGAATCTACGCCATTTATATGAAAATGCGATCGAGGAATCTCGTTCCGCTGATCCGTTCTTTATAAAAAGAAAAATTCAATATAATGAAGTTAGGAATAATGGATGGAGAATAAAACAATGAAAAAAGCGATAAAATATGGCTTTGTGTTAAATCAAAATAGAGGTAAAAATAAATTTGTTAGTAAAAGGTATAGTCGATAATTACAAGTTTTAAGATCCTAACATTTTTTCTCTCTCTAATTATAATTCACTCGAATTTATTCACGAAGCTAACGAACATTCAAAATTTTTTAAATAATTAAGTATCCGTAAAGAAATCTCAGAATCACCGACAATCTCGGCTACGTGCTATTCGAGACAGTGCTATTCCGAGATGTATTTTTGCTCCAGAATGAAAAGTTCGCCGACACGTATACAACTTCACGGTTCGATGCTCTGAATACAAAAGAACGGAGTTAGCGAGACGAAAAAATAGAGGAACGAGCCTTCGCCGATCGATACGATTTCAAGTTGCGGAAAAGAATTCTCTTCCGTTCCACGGGCGAGCCCTGTCACATTCTCGCTCTGTATTTTTATTAATTTATCCTGGCATAGGAAACCTTAGCAGAGAGTAACCATGTATCGTTATTAAACTTGCCCTTGTCATTCGTTCGGATAGA